ATTTGGAAATGTATAAACTATGAAAAGTGTAAATATGTTTTATTGTAGATAATGTATAAGATAGCTATTTAAAACAATAGTAAAAGCCACAGAGTGGGAGAAAATATTTCCAAGAGGCATATCTAATAAAGGACTGTTATCCAAAATATACAAAGAACTCTTAAAACTCCACAGTAAGTGCAAGCACGGTGGTTCACACCTATAATCCCAGCGCTTTGGGAGGCAGAGGCAGGAAAACTGCTTGAGGCTGAGAGTCTGAAACCAGCCTGAGTAACACAGCAATGTCTACAAAAAAAATTTTTCTTTAAATTAGCCTGGCATGGTGGCGTGTGCCTATAGTCCTAGTCCTAGCTACTCGGGAAGCTGAGGTGGGAGGATTGAGGTTGCAGTGAGCTGTAATTGCACCATTGCACTCCAGCCTGGGTGGCAGAGCAAGACCCTGTTTCTTAAAACCAAAACAAACAAAACAAAACAAAACAAAACCCTCAACAATAAGAAAATGAACCACCCAATTAGAAAATGGAGAAGAGATCTGGACGCCTCACCGAAGAAGATACACAAATGGCAAATAAGCATATGAAAAGATGCTCAACTTCATTACGGAATTGCAAATTAAATATTTTCATCCACCTATGAGAATGGTGAAAATCCAAAATACTGACAAAACCCAATAAGGATGTATAGCAATAGGAACTCTAATTCACTGCTGATGAGAATGCAAAATGATACAGCCACTTTGGAAGACAGCTTGATGTTTTTCATGAAACTAAACATACTCTTATCATACGATCAATTGTGCTCCTTGGTATTTAGCTAAATGTGTTTGAAAACTTATGCCCACACAAAAACCTAAACACAGAGGTTTATAGCAGCTTTACTCATAATTGCAAAACGTGGAAGCAACCAAGATGTCCTTCAGTAGGTGAATGGATACATTTTGGTACATCCAGACAAGGGGATATTATACAGTGCTAAAAAGAAATGAGTTATCTAGCCATGAAAAGACATGGAAGAATCTTAAAGACAAATTACTAAATGGCTGGGCGCGATGGCTCATGCCTGTAATCCCAGCAATTTGGGAGGCCGAGATCACTTGAGTACAGGAGTTTGAGACCAGCCTGGCCAGCATGGTGAAACCCTGTTTCCACTAAAAATACAAAAATTAGCCAGGCATGGTGGCACCCACCTGTACTCTCAGCTACTTGGGAGGTTGAGGTGGGAGAATTGCTTTAAACCAGGAGGCAGAGGTTGCAGTGAGCCATGATCGCACCACTGCACTCCAGCCTGGGTGACAGCGTGAGACCCTGTCTAAAAAAAAAAAAAAATTACCAAGTGAAAGAAGCCAATCTGAAAAGGCCACATAGTATGATTTTCACTATGTGGCATTCTGGAAAAGACAAAACTGGAGAGAATAAAAGATCAGTGGTTCCTTGGGCTCTGGGGGAAGGAGGGAGAGAGGAATAGGTAGAGCACAGGAGATTTTCACGGCAGTGAAACTCTTCTGTATAATGGTGGATACATGCTATTGGACAGTTACCAAAACCTACAGAGTGTACAACACAGATAGTGAACCCTAATGTAAGCTATGGACTTACATTATGGACGATGTGTCAATGTAGGTTCATTGATTACAACAAATGTACCACACTGGTGTGGGATGTTGATGGTGGGGGAGGTTGTGGGGGGCAGGGGCGGGTTGGGGAGGAAATACATGGAAACACTCAATTTTGATGTGCACCTAAAACTGCTTTAAAAACAGTCTATTCAGGCCAGTCATAGTGGCTCACGCCTGTAATCTCAGCACTTTGAGAGGGCGAGGCGGGTGGATCACCTGAGGTCAGGAGTTTGAGACCAGCCTGGCCAACATGGTGAAACCGCCCCTCCACTAAAAATACAAAAAATTTAGCTGGGCATGGTGGCGGGCACCTGTAGTTCCAGCTACTTGGGAGGCTGAGGCTGGAGAATCACTTGAACCTGGGAAGTGGAGGTTGCAGTGAGCCGAAATTGTGCCGTTGCACTCCAGCCTAGGGAACAAGAGCAAAACTCTGTCTCAAACAAACAAACAAAAAGTCTACTCAAAAATTAGTAAGTGATGCGCTAACACAGAAAAAAGTTACATCAAGGCACATCCAACAACACATTCAAAGTCAACATTTGTATTAATAGGCAGAATAGACAGTATTTACTAAATATTCACTCATACCCTGAACAGTGGACACTCCCTCCAAATTCCTTCTTATACCTCAAGTAGACTGTCAAAACTGTCCAGTATAAAAGGGGCACATAGGGAAAAGCAAGGCACATATAGGGAAAAGCAAGGCCCTCATAGGGAAAAACAAGGCCCTTTCTCCCCTCAACTTAGATCACTTTAAGTGTCCACTTAAATTCAAACTCCTTTAGGTGAGGTAAGACAGCAAAATGCTCACAGGTCATTGAACTACTGAAATGTCTGTGTAGGGCTGGGCATGTGGCTCACGCCTGTAATATCCCAACACTTTGGGAACCCGAGGTGGAGGATCACTAGAGACCTGGAGTTTACTGATTATATGAATCAATGAACCTATAATCAGTGGGACCAGCCTAGGCAACATAGTGAGAAGCCATCTTTACAAAAAATGTAAAAAAAATGTAGCCGGGCATGGTGGCATGCACCTGTAGTCCCAAATACTCAGGAGGCGGTGGTGTGAGGATCATTGAGCCCAGGAGTTTGAGGCTGCGGCGAGCTACGATCACGAACCACTTCACTCCAGCCTGGGCAACAGGGAAAGACCCTGTCTCTTTAAAACAAAACAAATGCCTGTGTAATTGACACTGGGTCATTCTGAAATAGGGTAGGGCAGGCGTGCCTGGCTCTGTGGGAAACAATCCACCCTATCTATGGTGGTGGCATTTTGTGAATGGACTGGCAACATAGCAGGCATGAGCTCAGCAACACTATCTGCCTAGTAATATCATCCGTTGTAGTAAGTCAGGCTACCCATCAAGCTGCCCTGCTCTAAAACTGAAGTGTGGATTGGATACAAATAACCAGAGGAATCCAGAAATCTGCTGGAGGCTTAGGAAAACAAAAGGAAGTTTCATAGTGAGTTATGCATATTATTTTCAAGTCCACGAAAGAACTGCTAATAGGCCGGGTGTGGTGGCTCACGCCTGTAATCCCAGCACTTTGGGAGGCCGAAGCAGGCGGATCACGAGGTCAGGAGATTGAGATCATCCTGGGTAACATGGTGAAACCCCGTCTCTACTAAAAATACAAAAAATTAGCCGGGCGTGGCGGCGTGCGCCTGTAGTCCCAGCTACTCGGGAGGCTGAGGCAGGAGAATGGCGTGAACCTGGGAGGCGGAGGTTGCAGTGAGCTGAGATTATGCCACTGCATTCCAGTCTGGGAGACAGAGCGAGACTCCGTCTCAAAAAAAAAAAAAAAAAAAGAACTGCTAATAAAGTTAGTAAGAGATAACCATACTCAAAACTGCCCTTCAGCTTTATGGTGTGTTATCGGTTGACCTTCAGCTGTGTGAAGTTACTGTCCAGATGTGACTGAGGTGTCAGCTCCTTTCGGTTCTTCCAGTAACAACCATAGTTACAGTGTGACTGCCCCACCCATCAGCATCACTGTCATACACTCTGCTAGCCCGCGCTGGTTCAATTTACTGGCTCCGCTTGGACTCTTGTTTGTTGACAGCTCTGCAAAAATGAAACGTCTCGACATCTGGTTTTGCTTTAACGCAGAGCAGGTGCAGTGTTGGACTAGTTCTCCACAAAGGAAAAATTTCAGACAATTTCAACACTGGGTCAAAAAACTTGATCTATCGAATAAAGTCAATTAAGCTTAAGCTGTCAGTGTGGAGATGGCAATTAATCTAAGTTGATGAAAAATGTTGCTCCCCAGGATTTTAGTGTCAGAAGTTAAATGAACCCAGCAAGGTAAATATAGTCACACATTAGAAGCCAAAACAGCACTGTGGCATCCTTGGTTTGCTGGATGCAGCCTTGAACTTCTAGAAGTTATCACCGAACTTGTCCTCCCTGTGCCATTGCCGACCCATTCTCACAACTGCCACCTTTCTCCAACTTGCCTTGAACACAGGCCAGTTCTCGTGCCCAGCAGTCCCAAAACCTTGGCCCTTTGCCAGGTAGTTTATCTTCTCCGGGAAGATGGTCATGGTTAATTGGCACTAGGAGAGAAAGGGGTCTGCTTGTGGGCTAATTCCAGAGGAAAGGCAGCAAACACACAAGATGCTGTTATATTCATGACCTCACTTTGGGTCGATATTTTCTTACATCTGCTACTTTATATTCGAACCACTGAAAAAGCAGAGTGTCTCAGGGCTCCACGTGAGAAGGGAAGTGGTAACTGGCCATCATACCTGCTGAGCATCATGGGAGTTTATGAGGGAAGCGGAATCTGCTTTGAGAGCTGCTAGAGCATATCTCTAGTACTGCTGACTTGAAACATTCAAGGAAACCAAACTGAGAACAAAGAAACCAGCAGTTAGATCTAACTTCTCTCTAGTATTGCTGACTTGAAACATTCAAGAAAACACATCTGAGAACTAAGAAATCAGCAGAGTTATCTAACTCCTTTTAGTCTCAAGTCAAAAATAAAAAGGGGCTTTGGCGATAACCCTTGGACTCATGTGTCCTTGGAGTTCTAAATCTTTCACTCACTGCTCTATAAAATGAAGGTCCTGGCAAGGAAAGGACATCTCCTGGTCACTGGCCAAGAATTCCCCTAAGAGACGGCCCCCTGTTTTTCCAAGCACAAAACTATCAAGGCAAATTTGGGATATGAATCAGTGACAAGTCAGACAGTATAATTAGCGTAGCAAGAGAAGTGTCTATAACACCCACCAGGTCAAACTTTAGAACCATGGATGTGGCCTTCCCCACCAGGAGCTTAATTACAGCCATGGCTACAGTCTTCAGGAGGGCAAGGGCCCAAGATTTTGTTATTCTGAACCATAATTAGGGGAATTTCTGTATGAGGATGCAGACAGGAATGCTAGAAATCAAATCTGTGTCCTTTATTCCACCTGGTAGGCATACCCAATAACCATATGCTGAGTCCTGTCTCAGGTTGATGGAGGGTTCCCTGGGCCCAAGGCACACAACTACCTGGGCTCTGCTCTCCAGACAGATGATAGGAAGGATGGACAGTGGAGAGAAGCTGAGCCTTGTGACAGAGTCCCCCAGCATGATGGGGAATGGAAAGTTGGAAGAAGTAGGACTATGAAGGAGGAGACAGGAAGGGGCTTAGAGGCATTTGGGGCAGGTTAGGCATTTTGAAGTGAGAGGCATTTCCATCCAGCCCCCCATGTCCACTGACAGCCACACCCAGGCTTCAGGTGGAGGTGAGGCTGCTGTTTCCCAACATGGTGCTATATTCTTCTGGAAGCCCCTTTCCTTCTGCTGTGGCTAGAGCTGTGACCAAGAATGGGAACAGGAGGCTGCTAAAGTCTGGAGAAGCAGGAATCATTTGTCAGAAGAACACAGAAGCCACCTGCTGGGAGTTCTGTCTTTTTGGAGATAAGCTGTTTGGGGTTTAGAAATGAGATGGAAGGAAGTGGAAGGCAGAGGGCAAGGGCGGAGTTGTGAGAGGTTACCATCACAAGGATGGAGGCTGGGGGCCATGTGCAGTAGGTCCAGAAAAGTGTTCAGTGGAATTGTGGGTAGGAGGCTGAGATGCCGCTGGGCCCTGTCCCCACCAAAGATGGAAGAACTGAGGTGGAGGCAACTGGCCACTTGCCTAGGAGAGAACTCAGGTACCAAGTTAAAAAAGACTCCCATGAAGAACTGCCACCTTCTACCCGCTGCAGTCTTGGTTTGCCCACGCAGAAATCAGTGGCCAGGGAGCAGGGCCTACTGCTGGGATATCAGGGCAAGTGCCCAGTCCAAGAAAGCCACTGTGATGTCCTGTAGGCAGAGCCAGGTCCAGTGGACAGCCTCACTGAGCTGTGTCTTCATGCAGTCCCAGGTCACCTCACCTCTGGAAAGAAAGTGGAACATTTTTGAGTATGCACGTGTGTAGCTGTGTCAACTCTCGGGGCTGAAAACTTAGACCCACAACCCTCATCCCAGGGTGGTCAGGGATGGGCAGTCAATTAAGCTTAAGCTGTCAAGGATGCAGCGAGGGGCAGGACAGTGTGGGAGACTGGTCAGAGATGGCTTGTCCCTGGGGCCCGGGAATGGGGCTGCTGGGGATCCTGCTGGAGCCCTAGGCAAAGGTCTCACCTGCATGCCTCATGGCAGTGCTTGTGGGCGCTGGCCAGGGCCTCAAGCAAGAGGTGCCACAATGGCAGCAGTACATTCTGGTAGAAAAGCAGGGGCAGCTCTCTCAGATAGTGGAGCAGCTGATTCAGGGAATCAGGGAGCTGGATCTGTAGCTGGACCATGGAGAATGGATGGGGTCAGAGTATTCAGGGAACTGCATCCTGGACCTAAGGACTCAGGCCACACAATGCTGCTCCTTTCCCAGAATTCTGCTCCTGGGAAAACCAGCCCGTCATGTGACTCCCTGTCTCTGACTTACCCTCTGAGAGAGGCTGGTGAGGCTGTCACCAAACCAGGCAAGGTGAGAGGCACAGTGGGCAGAAAAGAAGCTGACTGTGGCATTGGTGTGAGCCCAGGCCAGCTGCAAGCTGGGCCGCACCATGGTGAGCAGGTGAGAGCCCCAGACAGGCAGTGTCTCCTCCAGCCAGCTGTGGAAGATGGAAGTGGGGGAAGAGGGCTCTGAGTCTCCTCAGGCACCGCTTAGCTCCCAAGAAACAGCTGGGGAAATGGAGGCCGTGGGAAAGGAGAATCACAAGTGCTTCCCACTGTCACCTCCCTGACACCCAGGCCTTCTCTCTTCTGCCTCTCCTCTCCCCTCCCTGGGAGGAGCTCACCTGTAGCCTTGCAGACTGTAGGAGTAGAGCTTGGCACACGCTTGTTGGCTAGCAGGTAAGAAACCAGATGTTCGAAGCAACCGGCCAGTAAGGGAGGCTGAGTAAAGGGGGCCTCTGGTGAGCCGGGAGATGAGAGGGGCAGGGACTGGGGAGACAGACACTACAGGGCCTAGAGCAGGCACAGCGAGGTGCTGGGCAGAGCTTTGTGTGCTCACAGGGCCAGAGCCAGCTCCAGCCTGCTGTGGAGGAAGGCATGCAGAGTTGTCCTTCTCCTGCTGGGCCAGGTGTGCAGGAATGCAGCTGCCGGGTAGAGCCTGGGCTCAGGGTTCAGGAAGCCTCAGGTTGAGGGTCTGCCCTTCTACTTACTAGCTGTGACCTAAAGCTAATTGCTACATCTTTCTGAAACCATTTCCTCAGGAGTTAAAAGGAGGCAACACCTACTCAAATGATACCATGAATATGCAAGCACTTCTATACTGCAAAGTCCTAGTCTAATCTGAAATGGTAGTGTCATATCTGAGGACAGAAAACTCTGTCTGTAAAGTGTTTACTCTGAGGATTGAGAACTCGTGAGGACAAAGATGTGTGCTGTGGGGGCGGGGGGTGCTACACGTAGCTCTGTGCCTCTCCCATGCCATCCTCCTCACTTGCCCATTGCTGCTTACCCTGGAAGGAGCTGTGTGACCGGAGGTCATGGCACAGGAAGCCTACAGCGAAGACCAGCAGCAACAGGAGGAGCCGCGTCCAGGGCAGCCGAGGACCCTGAGCCTGCTGCAACAGGCCCTGGTGGGAGGGGAGCAGGAGACAGTTGTAGAAGCGAGAGGGGCTGGTCTTTGCCTCTGAGGGCAGACCTCAAGCCAGGCCTTCCCGGAAGAGCGTCAAGCCTTCACATTACCCTGGAGGCAGCGGGGGGCTCCACAGACAGGTGGGGCAGGAATGTGATACAGGCCCAACCCGGGTGTGCTGAGACAGAGATGTAAGATAGCGTGTGGGCTGGAGAGGGCCGGGTGCCAGCACCTTGCAGGCCATGTCACAGGTGACGACATCCTGGTTGTTACCGCTGCCCTTCCTCAGCAGCTCCTGGTTGGTAAGCTTGAGGGACTGAATGGTTTCTTGCAAAGACTTCTGTACCTATGGACAAGAAAGGTCTGGCCTATGAGGGAATCCAGAGCTTCCATCCTGCTACATTTTCCATGCCAACAGGGTCCCTTCTCAGGGAAGGGACAGTGGCTGAGGAGCCCCTACTCAGAACCCAGAATCCAGACAGGGCTCAACCTGCCACGTCCTCCCAGCTCCTCACCTTCTTGGGAATCTGCTCCCAGGAGCTGAGCAAGTGCTCCAGCAGCAGGCTGTGGAGAAAGCACAACCCCTCCATCAGGTGGCTCGTGCGGCCTTGCCCATCCTCCCATCCTCCATTAGCCCTGGCTCCTTCAGGCTGAAAGACCCTCCACCTACCACCCACAGAGCAGCAGCTTCCTAGAGGTTGCTCCAGCAATGTTCCCACTCAGCCTGAGAGGTGTCAGGCCATGAGACAGTGACCCAGGCTCCCCTTCTGCTTCTAGCACAGGGACAGGCTGGCCCCCCACCCCACCTGCCTGGACTGAGACAGGTGCTTAGGGTACAGCTGCCTCCAGACGCTGGCGCTGAGGGGGTCCACTGTCAGGCACTCGGTCAGGCTGCTCAGGAGCTGCACAGCGGGACAGAGGGAGAGGCTGCTGGGGGCATGGGGCAGGCGGAGGGGGAGAGTGCTAAGAGGTGATCCCCTTCCCGTTAAGTGAGGCCACCCAGGCCGCACATTCACCCTAAGGAGTGGAGAAACAGTGTCAAGACTCCAGAAAGCTCTCTGAGAGGCTGTAAAGCGGGAGATTGGGGCTCCTGAGCTAGAGCTCTGAGCTCAAAGATCACTCATCTGCAAGTGACGGGCATCAGAAACCACCCAGACCTGAATGTGCTGTCCCTTGGGATCCATCTTCTGAGGGTGAAGCTCGAGTGAGCGGGGCAGGCAGCTGTCAACAGGGAGCTAAGGAAAAGCCTCAGAATGGGCTCTGTGAAGGCAAGGCCTTTGTCAGCAGGTAGGGACCGCTGCAGTTGACCCCTGGGGAAGGAGAAGCAGCCTCCCACCACGTCTCACCTCTTTCTTCATCTCAGGGGGACAGCTAGGGGTGGCTCTGGACAGGAAAGAAGGGAAGTAGGTATGCAGGGTGGAATCTGGCTTTGCTCCAAATGCCAGCACCTTCAGTCGGGGGTAGAGCTGACATAGCTGCTCCTGCAGGCTGGGTGGGGTGGGGAGGAAAGCCAGGCATAAGCTATAAATGGAGCTGTATGATGTGAACCTTTTGCTTGCTTCAGAGCCCATGCCTGCCTGGGGGGAATAGCCACTGAGGACCTTGCAATGGCTCTGAATCTTTTTACTCAGAGACTCCTTGGAAATCTGTTGAAAGCCATGGACCCTATCCCTAAGAAAATGCCCATATGCCAATCACACTCAAGGGTCCATATAATTTCAAGGGATCACTGTTCCCTTGAAACCTACTCTTGAACTTCCAGGTTGCAAATCTCAGATCTAGGATGGCTGGGGAAGAAGGGATGGGAAAATGTAACGTGGTTCTGGTGCTGGGGGTCCCTTCACAGCAGGTGTGCCCCAGAGCAGTCCTACCTGGGTGTCAGGGAGTTGTTCGGCATATAGGCAAAGTCCAGAAGTGGGAAGAAGTCCTTGGGGCCAATCATGCCGAAGCCCTTGGTGAGGTTCGGATGCATCCTGTGGGGATGAAGAAATAGGTTCGCTGGACACCACCACCCATGCCAGCTGTTTTGGTCATGACCCCAGCTAAGCCAACATCTAGGAAAAAGGGTGTAAGCTCTACCCCATCTGCCAGCCCTTAATAGCTCCCTCTTCTTCCTTCCTCACCATCACATTCTAAGATGGTGGGAGAAGCTGGTCCTGATTTTCCTCATATCCCTGGAGACCAAGATCACAGCCTCCTCTTTTGCTAAAACAGCCATCTGGGACACCCTGAGCCTTCCCCTCGCTGCCCTTCCATTACTCACAGGAGCAGCCGATCCAGGTATGTGATGGCAAACGGAGACAGAGACTTGATGCCCAGCACAGGCAGCATGATCCCCAGCCACACTGTGGAGGTGAAGGTCAGGAGGGAAGCCTCAGGCTTGCACCTAGTGGGGGCATCAAAGAGGAGTTTTCCGGTTCCGAGACCCTCCCTCTTTCTTCCCTATTTCCCTGTTACCTTTCAGTCCCTCGGTGAGGTTGGCAAAACCCGCTTGACCCAGGGCCCACATGATGGTCAGACACTTGGCTGGTCGGCTCTGGTGGGACCTCAGTAGTTCCAGGAACTGAGGAGACCGGTAGGGAAGGCAGATTGGGATAGGACAAAACACCAGGAGCACCCCCAAAGACAGGCGGGAAGGGAGATGTCAACTGGAAGAGGGAGGACAGGCCGAGCAAGAGTGGAGCACTATGACCACGTGGTGCAGGGATTGTTTGTGGGCTTCACCTATACTCTGCCATTGGCTGGATGACTGAGCCTAGGAAAGTTACTGAACTCCTCTGTGGCTCAATCTTTTCATTTATAAAAATGGGAAATAATAGCAGTACCTGGCTGCTATGTTTCCAGAGCAGACACACAGTAAGTGCTAATAGTATTACCTATTATTACTAGGCTTATAGGTCTTCCACTATCCCAAACCTGAGTTCAACAACGTAGATTCTGCCCAGACTCCCCAGTCCTAGCTTCCTGGTGTCCCCACCACCACTGAGAGCTCACCTTGCCTAGGTTTGCGGTGGCAATCTTGGGCTTGTCTTGCAGGATGGCCTGGATACAGATGCGGTAACCATGTAGTGACTCCCCTGGAGAGATACACATTCTCACACCTACTCACATTACTTGGCATCCCAAACCTGAAATCTCCCATTTGTCAGTAGTGAGCCCAGGCCCCAGGTCCACTGACGCCTAACTTCCTCCACCCTTTCCAAAAACAGTGTCAAGGTTAGCACATTTCCCTACTGGAAACAGAACCACTGAGTGGTACTGAAAGCAGGAAAAAAAGGAGGAGGCTCCCAAGATGGTCATCCCTCCTGTGCCCCCTCACCTGGTGTCTTATCCAGCTCTTGCAGCATGGTGAACAGACAGTGGTCAAAAAAGAGCTCCAGAGACCCTGCTGCCTTCGCCAGCAGCCCTCGGATGATCCCACGCAGCTCCCGGCTCACCAGGCTGTAGGGATAATCTAAGGCCCATAGGCCTCATTGTGAGTGCTAGGACCAGACACTCATCAGCTGTGAGAACTGTGGTGCTCTCCCTGAGAATGGTGAGTGGAGGCAAAGGCCCCTGCACTGAGGTTGGGATCCTTCCTCTGAGGAGACCCAGAGGGAGGATCACAGAACGAGGCCCAGAAACATTCACAGTCACAGGTGTTTGAGACCAGCCCAAACACCCATGGAAATCAAGACAGTGGGGGGCACTGGGATCTGTTATACCACCCTTTTTGAATTTCTTTGAACTTGTCTGAGCTTGAGGAAGCTGGAAGGACTTACCATGAGTATGCTGGCTCAGCGTGGGTTCACTTAGAGGAGCTTGTAGCTTGTAGTTGAGATAGCTGGCCAGGTCCTTCAACCATATGGATGGGTTTCCAGAGAACACGCTCTGGCTCTTATCCAGTTCCTTCTGCAGGGCTGCCACATCCAGCTGCCAGGGACAATCCCACAACCCCCCACCATGGCGAGTTGTGAGTGAGGGAGTAAAGAAGTGGGGTAGGGGTGGGAAAATGGTTGAACTAGGTGGCAGCAGGAAGAAGGGTTTCCGTTTTTAAGCATAAGAACATGGAATGCTGCAATTCTGCTGCACCCACATCTTTAAGTATGGAACAGGACAGCTGAAAATGCTGATCTCAAGGCCCTATCCTCTCAGGCTCTCCACATGTTTAAGAGGAAAACAAAGGGCCAGGCGCAGTGGCTCACACCTGTAATCCCAGCACTTTGGGAGGCCAAAGTGGGTGGATCACCTAAGGTCAGGAGTTTGAGACCAGCCTGGCCAACACAGTGAAACCCCGTCTCTACTAAAAATACAAAAATTAGCCAGGCGTGGTGGCACGCACCTGTAATCCCAGCTACTTGGGAGACTGAGGCAGGAGACAGAGGTTGCAGTGAGCTGAAATCACGCCACTGCACTCCAGCCTGGGCGACAGAGGGAGATTCTATCTCAAAAAAAAAAAAAGGAAAACAGAGGACAAGATAGAAAATGAAAGATCAGTATTTCCACAGGACAGAGAATCATAACCAGTTTCTCCATCTCCTCCCTGGTGTTCCTGGGTCTTCAAGGCTTTCCTCTTACCAATCCATGTTTCCCTATAAATTTTCCATTTCCTTTCTATTCTAGCTGCAGGCATTCTGTTCCCCTGGGGTTTCCATCTTCTCCTGAACTCCTGCTCTCAACCCTTAAGTGTTCCTCCGATTTCATAGGATCTCCTCCTCTCATCTTCTCTACATCTCAAGCCCCCATTCTTTCTGCGTGTCATGTCTAGGCACACTCACAGCTTTCAGTGCTTCCTCCAGGCTGCGGAAGCGGCCCTGCTTCTGGTTTTGGTTGGGAAGAGTTGCCACCTTCTTTGGCTGCTTCTTGTTCCCTGGTTTCTTAGGCTCCACAGCAGGGGGTGGGACCTGCTCCTTATTCTGCCGCTTCATGATATTCTCAAAGCCCCGCTCATAAAGGGTGCTTGTGGTCTGGATTGGAGCTGAGGTGAAGATAGGTAGAGAAAGGCAGGCCACCCTTGAGTCCCCAAGGCCTCACCTATCAGTGGTCCCTTTCCCCACACTGCCACCTAATTAATCTCCAGGGAAGAGCCTGTCTCAAAGCCCCTTCCTCTTGGGCTGCTTAAAGAGCAGGGCAGGGTGTTCTCCTGGTAGTTTCTTTCGTTACAGCTCTTGAGTCTATGGGCTCTTTCATAAAGATGGGGCAGTTCTTTATTAGACAAATCAGAGTATGTAGGAACAAGCAGAGGAACAAACCTCTGGATATAGAGGTTTGCCTTATTCGGTGAGTGGCTACTAGTCTGGAAAGGCAGGCTTTTTCCATCTTGGTCCTACCCTAACGCCTCTTGGTTCCGACATGACAACTCTATAATCAACAGGTGGCAATCTTTCTCCACTCCTCAGTAGAAGAACCAGGTGTCACTTATAATTCCTGGTGAGTGTTGAGTGTGTGGCAGTCATTTCTCCCACTGCTTGGCCTCCTGTCCCTTCCTCCATGACCTGCTGGTTACTTAAAGAGGGGGCACTGTGTATAATGATCCAGAGTGCCTCTTCCCAGCTCAGACACCTGCCCAGGGAGGCCGGCTAGGTTCCTGGGCAGCTGGGAGAGTGTGTGCAGTGAACTGAGAGTCTGAGGACCGGAATCCTGGCCCCTCTGACACATGACCCTGGCCAGGGTGTCCAACTTCACTGGGCCTCAGTTTACTCATCTGGGAGGTAAGGACCGCAACCTCCCCTGGAGCTGTCCGCCTCCCGTAAGGCTCCAAAAAGACAATGCAAGGGTGGCGCTCCGGGATGTGCCTGCGAGCTCGCGCCCAGGTTCTGGGAGCGGCTCGCTGCGACCCTGCCGGACAGGCCCGGGGTACGCGCCAGGCAGGGTGGGTACTCACGGGTCAGGTCGTATTTCCACACTCCATTTGCTTCCCCGAGCGCCCGGCGGTTCCCGCTGCCGCCTCGGCCGCCAGCGCCGGCCCCAGGCCGCCGGCCCTTCTTCACCACCTCCCAGCGCCCCACGCCCGCCGTCTTGGCCGCCATGGCTCGGAGCCCTCCCGCCTCGGCCACTTCCCCTGCTTTCCGGCCCCGCGCTGGCGCGCTGCACTCTGCCACGTCTCCTCGCAGGACCGCGCGCCCGGCGCCCAGCGCCCGCCGCAAGGCAGCCTGGGACTTGTAGTCCCTCTCCTGGGCCGGGCTCTTTCGGGCGAGCAGCGACTGGAAGAGGCTCCCGTGGCAGCCTGCGGTCCCCGCCCAGGCGAAGAGGCCGGAAGGAGAGGAGATTCCCTTCTGAGAACGTTCACTGAGCGCCGATGTGAACGCCACGGCATCGAGAGACTTGGTAGAACTGTTTCTGTTTTTGTTTCCTTTATTGATCAATTGATTGATCGATTGATTGACAGGGTCTCGCTCTGTCGCCCAGGCTGGAATGCCCAGGCTGGAATGCAGTAGCGCGACCCCAGCTCACTGTAACCTCCGCCTCCCAGGTTTAAGCGACTCTCGTGCCTCAGCCTCCCGAGTAGCTGGGACTACAGGCTCCCGCCGCCACGCCCAGCTAATTTTTGTATTTTTAGTAGAGACGGGGTTTCGCCATGTTGGCTAGGCTGGTCTCGAACTCCTGACCTAAAGTGATCCACCCGCCTCGGCCTCCCAAAGTCCTGGGATTACAGGCGTGAGCTGCGGCGCCCAGCCACTGCTTTTCTTTCCTTTCTGGTACAGCTGGAAGGATGGGATGGAAGTAGTGCTCCTCATCTTTGGGGAGAGTTTGAAGATTGAATGCTTCTTTTCTTCTAGGAAAGTGCTGGCTTTACTGCTGCTAGTGATTAAACTTCGGGTTTAATGGGCTATACAAATCTATTGCCAAAGAACAAGGAAGAGGATGGAGGCTTGAGGAAAGGGCAGAGTGTTGGGGAGCTGGGGTAGGAAGTGGAGAATGGAGAATACTTCTTTTATTTTTATTTTTATTTTTTGAGACAGGATCTTGCTTTGTCACCCAGGCTGGAGTTCAGTGGCGCGATTACAACTCACCGCAGCCTCGACTTCCAGGGCTCGGTTGATCCACCACCACGGATCACCTGACCCACCACCACGCCCGGCTAATCTTTGGTATTTTTTGTAGAGACAGGGTTTTGCTGTGTTGCCCAGGCTGATCTCAAACTCCTGGGCTCAGTGATCCACCCTCCTCAGCCTCCCAAAGTGCTGGGATTACAGGAGTGAGCCACTGCTCCTGGCCTCCGAGTTCTTCTCATGGAGGCTGAGAAAAGTTTGGGGGTCTGGGACAGCTAGGGCCGGGTTTCCCCTTCCAGGCAATGGGAAAGAACAGGCTCTGCCTCCCACCACAAGAGTCAGTCCCAAGTTCCAGATGTGTCAGGGAAGCGATGGAGAGCCCCAGACTTGAGGCATTTGCAGACAGGTTCCTGCTCAGACATCCATGTGGAGGGTGTTAGTATCTTGGGAGCCTTCAGAACCTTGAAGCATGCCAGCAGAGGAGAATGAGGGAAGAGAAAATCGAAGTGACTTATCACAATTAAAGAAATGTGCTATTTCGTATACAACTGTGTGTGAGGATGAGATTCCCATCTGCCATACTGAGGTATTATGGTAAGAACTATGAGAGTCCAAATTCCTACAGGATGAACAGCTGAGGGAGTGATGAATTCTTTAGGAAGAAGATTAGCTTCTGGAAGGAGACAGCAGCTGATATGGGTTCTGAGAAATAGAATTTTCATTGGTTCGCTGGGTGCCGTGGCTCACACCTGTAATCCCAGCACTTCAGGAGGCTGAGGTGGGTATCACTTGAGGTCACCAGCTAGGCCGACATGGTGAAACCCCGTCTCTACTAAATACAAAAAATTAGCTGAGCATGCTGGCACATGCCTATAATCTCAGCGGCTTAAGAGGCTGAGACAGGATAATCGCTTGAACCTGGGAGGTGGAGGTTGCAGTGAGTCCAGACTGTGCCACTGCACTCCAACCTGGGCAACAAAAGCTAGACTCCATCTCAAACCCCAAAAAACAACAACAACAACAACAAAAAACAAAATTGAATTTTCACTGGCTGAGGATTAGGGTGGGTGGAGAGAAAATGCCAGTTGTATGGATCTGTTGATGTAAAACAAAGGCCTAGAGGGTTGGTAAACTGGAAGCAGTTCAATGGGACAATGCTTGATGGGACTTTGGAGGTGATGAGGTTTGATACAGTTTGGATTTTTGTCTCTGCCCAAATCTCATGTTGAATTGTAATCCGCAGTGCTGGCAGTGGGGCCTGGTGGGAAGTGTTTGGATAATGGTGGTGGATCCCTCATGGTGGATCCCAGTTCTCATGAGATCTGGTCATTTAAAAGTGTGTGGCACCTCCCCAGCACCTCTCTCTCTCTCGTTCGCTTGCTCGCTCCTGCTTTTACCATGTGATGTGCCTGCTCCCCCTTTGCCTTCCGCCATGATTGTAAGCTGCCTGAGGCTTCCCTAGAAGCAGATGTCAGCGTTATGCTTCCTATACAGCTTGCAGAACTGAGCCAATTAAACTTCTTATAAATTACCCAGTCTAGATGTTTCTTTATAGCAATGCAACAATAGCCTCATATAAGGTTGGAAAGGGATCTGAGCCCATATGCCAAGGAACTTGCCTGCCAAATCTGGACTTTATCCTTCAGGCCCTGGGAGACCAGTGAGAGGGTGGCATAATCCACTCTTTTGGAAGGGTAAATGGGGCTGTGTGAAATGTTGGTAGGGGAAGGCAGGGGGTGGGAGACGAGCATATCTTGCTGCCTCCTTCTACCTGTCCTCCAGCCCCTTTAGGCCTGACCATGGCTGACTTTCCATCAGGTAGCTCTGAGATGCAGTGCTTTTGGCAAGGACCATATTTGAGCTGATCATTAATCAATTCATTTTGCAGGTCATTGGTTTAGGTGTACTCAGGAGACCAACAGCAATATCTTCTCTTTGTTCGACCCCTCCTGTGTCACATGTATGATCACAGAAGAGACCCTGTTTTTGGAAGAGAAACAGAACTGGCTTTCCATTGAGGCAAATGAGGGGGCTGCCCCATGGCAGAGGCACACAGAAGGGTGGGAGGGGGACTCTCTCTTTCATTGGAATAGTCTGGTAAGTTACCAGTTCTAACTTGGCATCTAGGACGTATAAATGCATTTACTTATCCAGCAACCTTTTCTAAGCACCTTCTCTGTGTCAGGCCCTGTGCTAGGTGGAGCTGGAAGATATAGCTCACTTGCTTGTAAGGAACTTGAAGGCTGTGTGGGAGACAAATGTATAAACAAAAAATTACAGTTCACCATCTTAGTGTTCCAGAGGAAAGAAGCACTTAGTATGAGGTACCAGGAAGAGGTGGGGAGAAGGGAGTGGCTTTACATCCTTAAGCTCTGGGTGTTTGAAGAGCAGCCTTAGACACTAGCCATGGAGGTGGGCTTGGGTAGGCCCCACCATGGGGTTTGAAGACCCAAAAGATGTTGGGTCAAGGAGGACATGGGTGTCTAGTATGGGAGTAAGCAGAAGGATGAGCTCACTGAAGCACTGTTTTACCCACTGTACTACGTTTCTATTGCTGCTAAAACAAATTGCCACAAACTTAGTGGCTTAAAACAGGTGTGTTATCTTCCAGTTCTGGAGGGCAGGAGTCTAACTCAGGTCTCCCTGGGCGAGAATTGAGGTGTCAGCAGGACTGGGTTCCTTTCTGGAGGCTTTTGGGGAGCATCCATTTCTTTGTCTTGCCCAGCTTCTAGAGGCCACCTGCATTCCTGAGTTCATGGCTCCCTTCTGTCTTCAAAGCCAACAACAGCAGGTGAGTCACTCTCACATTGTATCACTTTGACCTCTTCTTTTATTATTTTTTTTTTTTGTTTTGAGATAGGATCTTGCTCTGTTGCCCAGGCTGAAGTGCAGTGGCATGATTATGGCTCACTGCAGCCTCGACCTCCAGGGCTCAAGTGATCCATCTCAGCCTCCCAAGTAGCTGGTACTACAGGCATATAGTACCATGCTCGGCTAATTTTTCTATTTTTTGTAAAGATGCGGTCTTGCTGTTGTCCAGGCTGGTCTCCAACTCCTGCGCTCAAGTGATCCTCCTGCCTTGGCCTCTCAAAATGCTGGGATTACAGACAGAGCCACCACACCCTGCCCACTCTGACCCTTTCTGCCTCCTGCTTCCACCCTTACAAATGTTTGTGATGTCATTGGACCCACCTGGATAAACCAGGACACTCTCCCTGTTTTAAGGTCAGCAGATTAGCTTCCTGAATTCCATCTGCAACTTTCTTTCTTTTTTTTTTTTTGAGACAGGGTTTCACTCTGTTGCCCAGGCTGGAGTACAGTGGAGCAATCATGGCTCACTGCAGCCTTAACAACAACTGGGTTCAAGTGATCCTCCTGCTTCAGCCTCCTGCGTAGCCAGGACTACAGGCACATGCCACAACAACCTTCAAATTTTATTTTTTGTAGAGATGGTGTTTCCCTATGTTGCTCAGGGAAGTCTTGAACTCCTGGGCTCAAGTGATAATCCCGCTTTGGCCTCCAAAAGTGCTGGGATTACAGGCGTAAGCCACCATGCCTGGCCCACAGGCAGCCTTAATTCCCTTTTGCCATGTAACCCACATATTCACAACTTCTGGGGATTGTGATATGGACACAGTGCCTCCCACGCCCACTTTACCTTCAGGGTGAGGTCTCGGCCTGAAAAGCAATGCAGAACAATGGCCTATCCTTTCATGGTATCTACCTGTAATCATGGGGAAAAGCCTTTAAAAATTAGGCAAGGGAATTAAAATCATCACGATAAGTAAAAGCAGGCAAGGAACTTGCTGGAGGAGAAGAACAGAGATAGAATAAGGCAGAAATGTCTATGTATGTGGGGGTGGGAGTCAAAAGGGGCGGTGGTGATTGAGAAATAAACAGATATGAATTGCTTATTTAAGGCTTGAACCTGATGTCATGATAGAAATGGTGGTGGTCTCGAAAGGGGCCATGGGGTGGGGCCACAGAAGAGACACGGCCCCAGCTGCATGTTGGCCATACTCAGGGTGGCGAGGAAACCAGCACTGTCCTGCAGCTGGAAGAACCTCAGTGGTCTTTGGGGATGAGCCCTGAACCTCAAGTGAAGAAGTGTGAGTTCTAGCCCAGGTTTCTGCCATGGCGA